GTAACAGGTTAAGTGCTTCTTATGCGTAATTTATATACTTAAGCATAGAGAGGTTATTTAACCTCGTGAAACAATACGATATATCAACTAGTCATATTAAAGTCACACTTTATACACATCTTGGTTTGCTCTCTCTATTTTGTAGCACACTAAAACATAACAAAAGATCATCAAAATAACCAAACCAGTGTTTTTAAGAGTATTATTAAAATGATCGTTTAAAAATTTCTTAAAAGCTTAGTGAGTGATGACAGAGGTCACATTCTATTATAATTAATATGATCAAATAAGACTGAATTCGTACATAAAAATACACATGTGCGCGCTTACAAACAGACAACAAGATTGCTTCTAGAGTGACATGACTTGAACTATCTAAGTTACTCAAAAGTTCATAAATATGCATAAGTTTAGATTGCCTATATATCCTGTAGGAATAAGCCCGTGAGTACTCTTGATTTTTAGTAATAGGAATTAAACTATGTACAGAGGATATCGCTCATACGAAGGGCGAAATTTAGTCACCATAACCCTAGAATAAAGAAGATAGCCCCCAGGCAAGCCCTTACCAGAACGTTCTAGTAAGCCAAGCAAAACCTAGCCTAGATTAATCCACATTCGTTTTATGGTAGCATTAATATTTAAATACTTTAATTGCATTTTTATTGCTAATTAAATTGAGTTCAATGGTATTACTTTATTTCAGCGAAACTTTGACTTAATTCGAATAATATTCATATTGAATAAGTTTAGACATTAGCATTATGCTTTTTATAAAAATTATATGCACTCTATCGTATGAAGACCAATATGGTGTGGCCTCTAGGTCGTCTTGACAATACGACCAAGTTGTGAAAACAGGGTCATACAACTGTTACCTGCACTCTTCTTAGTATAGATTGATAATGGACTGATAGCTATTTTTTAATAATGCTATGAATAGGCCCCACGCTTCAATTGATTTTTATTTAGCCTTGTATCTAAAGTATACTTTTACACGAAGTAAACTTCAGCTTTGACTTCAGCCTGACCTTATCAGTACTACCATCCGTATGCGAACTAGTTTGATGCAACATTTATATTCAACAGGGTTTCACCACGCTATACCTAAGCTGGTGCCTGTGGATCACGTGACATAACTTATGTTTAGGGAAATATAATCTAAAAAGACATAGATGACGATGAATGCAAGTTTTCCCCATCATCCTTTACAAGATAAGTTACATATGAAAGAGGCTTGGCCCTTGGTACAACTGATTGACACGCGTGAAAGTTTGGGGTAGTGATAACAAGTCGAAAATAAATGCGGCATCCCCTAGGTTTGAATAGCATTAAGAGTGCAGATAAGACCTAAGAAATAAAACAATGTAATCAGCCAGGTATAAGAATATATTTTGAGGACAACGCTAAATGATATTTCATGGTATTGTAAGGCCAACATATTTCATTACTAAAAAAAATAAATGATCATATAATGCAACATATGTTGAATGTGGTGGTATAACTATCAATTCTTTTGAGAAGGCGGGTGGAAGGAATTCTTGGATTGGTTTCGCCAGATACCAAAGGAGGGTTGCCCTTGACATTTTTCTATTTAATTGTGCGAATAAGACATCGATTCACCGTCTTATAACCCCGATGACTCAGTTCTGAGCTTGTGTTCGTCATGTGGCGCCCACCACTTGAGCCAGAAACCAGTATTCGCGAAAAATCACCAAATACACTAAACGAAGAAATGCGGACGGCTTAGGTCCTACTTACTTGTTATACCTCACCTTGTAATCATAATAAGACATTATACGATGTTATTGGCTGCGTTATGCTTGTCCTACATGCACAAAGTGACGCACGAAAGGGAACAGATGTAGTCACAACTTTGGTCTATGTAAATAAACCAGCGTATTATCCTGTAATCCTAAGTCTTGTTATTGCTTCGCGAATGTGTGTTCGTATGTATATATAAAAACCACGAATTGTTTGGTAATTTTAGATCCAGAACCAGACCTCGGTTTAGTCAAGTCTCTTCTCACTCCATCTAATTATATTAAGAAGCCAGAGGTAGTTCATACTTAGTTTCCTACATTCGTTCATCTTATTCTGAATTTCCTTCGTTTTATTAATTTCAATCAACTCCCTGATCTTCATCCTAGCTGTGAAACGCTTATCAAGCTAAACTCTGGGATTTAGACCACTCTAACTGGTCTCCGGTTGTGATAAAATGTACAGCGTCCTCCGATTTCGGAATCCATAAACTTTTGCTGGCGGTTCTTCTGTGTTCTGATAGCCTTCTGTCTATGGGTCGACTAGTCTCCCCCACATAAACAATACCTCATTAGTACATAGGGTTAAAACAACCTGATCTGCAGAGAGCGTCTGAAAATTCTCTAAAAGAAGGCAGGACCGAGAAAAGCGTTATTATTTTTTTATACATTTTTTTGGCGGTCAATTTCTTTGGTAATTCGCTTGTAGGACCTGGACGTAGAGTTCTCTAATTCCTTGTTTTGTCCTAAATAATGCTTTCCTTTCACTCTATTTCCTATTATTTTGAAACTGTCAGCAATTACTCATAATGGATAATTGTTCACAATAAGGTGAAAGGAAACCATTATTTGGGACAAAACAATGAAATAGATATTCCTACATCCAGGTTCATAATGCGACCCTTCTGCAAGCTTTAAAAAAGGTAGACGAATTACTAAAGAAATGGACCGTCAAGACAATATATTAAGAAATAATAACGCTTTTCTCGGTCATGCCTTCTTTTATATATTTTTTAGACGCCCTTTGCAGATCAGGTTTTAAATTATTTCCTCTTCTTATTATAGCATCTAAGTATGCCTATTCTTTTTATTGAGTTCATGCAAAGAATGCCTCCGTTCTCTAACAATATCTACAATGTAGCAAATTTAAGCTTAGTTTCTTTTTCTCGGAGTGGAATTAGGGTCTCTAAATTACTTAGTAAACCTGTAAAATAGTAAGGCCAGATCACAAAAGACCAAGGACAATATGCATTGGCTTCTGGTAAGAATAAGAAACAGCTAGCTTTATCACACAGTTTAGAATAAATTAAAAAATAACTTAAAAATATTATATTCAAAAATTTATTAAGAACTATCGTTCCTATCTTGTTGAGGTCTCAAATGCAAAAACTTTACTTTTATCAATATTATAAAAGTTTTTTTGGTCGTGGATAGAATATAAATTAAAAAATATCTATATAATAATAATTTGATTGTAAATCCATGCTTCTTGCACCTATCGGCATGTTTTACTTTCCCCAAAAGCGGCTGTGACAAGCATCAGCTGTTTTATCAATATGGCGATATGTGAGGATTTAGACAAGAAAATGGAGGACTTTGATTATGCTATGTCGAAAATCTATAGGGGTTTATATACATCGGGTGATACACAGCCTCTCCCGAAGTGTTGGAACCTCAAAGATCGCTCCAGATACCTTAAAGTGACGCATCCAGCTCTGGTTGTTGCTTACAGTAACAATAACTCAAATAATCTCGAGCATAGACATGGTGGGTTTCATTGAAACAAGTTTACTTCATAAGGGTCTAATTATTCTAGTGATGAAATGGCATCTGTGCGATCTGATTCTCCAATTCCACTTAATACTGGAATATACTATTTCGAGGTCACATTGTTAAACAAGGGAGTCACTGGGTATGCCGTTCTCATAACTCATTAAATATCTTATCTCTAGTGCG